GTTATCGTCGCGCTCGCGGAGTGGAAGTTGTCGGGAGAGATGCATGCGCGACCGATCGCGCCCCATCGCATGCGCTTTTCTCGCATGGTCCCGCACCTTTCCTCCAGGATTCGCCTTTGATTAAATATCGATCAGGGCGTCAACGGTCAGGGGAAACGCGCCGATAAATGAGCATCCAATCTACTGTGTTAAACCGTCGGCTTCTCGAGAAATCGATGGGTGCGAGAGATATTGCAATAGCGGAAGAAAGATTGCACGTACACTGTTTGCAAATAACGACGATAACAATAATAACAGTGCGACAATGGCGTCAATGAAATTGCGACGGCAAAATAATTATATATTCGTCGATTTTATCTACAATTATTATTCTCATGGTATTTTTACAACCAATGTAGCTTCCTCCACTCCAAATTAGGCGCCTGCAAAGCAGGCGTAAAACGAAAAGCAAAATAATGATTACAACAATGATTTCGGGGTAAGTGGTTCAATAAATTTTTATACTTGTCTGTTTTATAATTGTCCGGTAATACGCGCGTTAAATACATTAAAATCTTTTTGCACTTTTCATTCGATTGAACATCGACAAAGTGATTTTCAAGTGAATTATTTTTTGATACAAAGACAGCTTACGTAAAGGAGGGGCATTGTGTTACCGGTGGCAATCAATATTGCAAATAGCCTCTTTCCTATTCCGAATGCTCGTTTCTAAATGGCTGAGGTTTGCCGAGCTAATGAGGATCCGAGAATAATGATTCCGTTCGTGCGATCCGTTTCTTCGCTCGTAATTTCCCGACAATGTTAATTGATAATCTGACCGTAATGAAGAGACCCATGAAATTTCGTTACGACCCAGCCGATTCCTATCTGACACGCGACCCGACTCTCGCTAAAATAAATGCGACTAATCTCCCGCAATTATTTTGTTCTTAAACTCAGCTCGATTTTCCGACTCAACTCGCGGAAATTTGCCGTAATCGACGCGTCGCCACTGACTATCCGTGCGTAGATCGATATTTAATTAAAAGAGGATCGCCGGGGAAAAAAAGGAAACAGGTAAGCGGAAGGAAGAAAAATGCGGAAAAGATTGGAAAAACCTGCTGGACGTGGGCTAAAAATGCATCCGGCCGTGCTCCGAGGAAATGCACGCCGAACAATTCTGTATCTCAGCTATTAAAGAAATCTATACATGTGTATGTATGTATGTGTGTGTGTGTATACATACATATATATATATATCTATCCGTTTCCAATAAAATCTATGTTAGACACAAGTACGCTCTCGAAATATTGCAGCTTGAATCGCGTTTGATTGAACGATCAATTTCACGTTGAAATTTTCACGGTCGGGTAGTAAACATCAGAGTGAAATAGCCCTCCCGCTTTTGACAACAAGAATCCCGGGTATTTCCTATTCCAATTAAAAAAGAAAGCAAATAGTAAAAAATTGCTAGTCAAATAATTCAACCGATGACGCTCATCTCTCGAGATGCGAGCAATTGTTATCGAAATATCATCATACACGTGTATGCGCGAAAGGCGCGATGTATTATACGAACGTAACTAGTCGGCAATTTAGGAGCGTTACATCTCGCTCTCTCTCTCTCTCTCTCCATCGATTCTCCAATTATTAATAACATAAATTCGACAGGAGTGAAATTTCGCGCTGTCGACGAAACGGAGGGAGAATAAGCAATCGCCACGGAGCAGTCGCGTTAACATTCGCTTTATCGGAACATAAATCAAGCGTCGTAAAAGCGTCGGCGGGCGGACAATTACGCTCATCAATTCCGGATGTTTCTTTTCTCCAGCGAGGCTGGAAAAAACTAGACGAAGCCCCACTGCAAAAACCGCATCCATCCACCAGTTGCATACGCTTACAGGCGCTCGCTCGATAACAATAAAGCCCGCGTAGGGCGGGAAAGAAAGCCGGCCGCGAGCGGAGGGGAAATTCGGAAAAGCGAGAAAGTGGGTCGCGAAAATTGGACGGGCGTGTCGAAAAATTGCGTTCGTGGGGAAAAATGCATCATGCGAGCAGCGCGACGTTCGCTTGCCAGGGATGATTCCCGGTTGGTGCCAAGTGCCCTTTAATCTAACGGGTGTCTGCGTGTGAAGTACGATCGACGAGTACGATCGGATGCCGAGCGACGACGAAGCTTCGCATTCCTCGCGATGATCACGCGGCATTGCCCCCCGCCGTCTGCGTCTGACGGTCGATGACCGAACCATCCGCGAATTTTATACGCAGACTTCGATGGTGCCCTTCTTTCGCGGTCTTCTCTCTTGTTGCCGTGAAACGGCGCCCTGTCTTGCCGGCTCCAGCTGAGACCGCAGCTCCTTGCGGCGGACACAAGAATTCCCGAAAGATTCTATTTGCGCGTGTTCCACGAAGCGAAGAATTTCGGGAAGCAAGTTATAAAGTGTTCGTACTTCGATGTAAGCGCTTTAGGAATTTCCAGTTTTCCCTTTGCATTCCTCGCTCGCGAATTCGCGAGTTTTCCACTCGTCCCTTACTTCCGCCGTGTGATCGCGCTTTGCTCCCCTCCCCTCCCCTCTCTCTCTCTCTCTCTCTCTCTCTCTCTCTCTCTCTCTCTCTCTCTCTTTCTCTCGACGTTTCGTTCTAATATTTTTAATAGTTGCTCAACTTGCCGAGCTTTGTGTCGTTTTAAATAGGTCGCCAGTTAATTTTCTCGTCTTCTCTTGAGAATAACTCGCTCAGCTGAGAGTTACGAGAGGGTACGAGAGAAAGGGAGAAAGAGAGCAAGAGAAAGAGAGAAAAAGTCCTCGCAAACAAAGAAACACTCGTAAATCCGAACACATCAATTTGAATGCTTGAGTACATAAAGCGACTCGCATCAACGAATTCAGGTCGGCGATATTTCATTATAAATTCGCACGCGGCACGGCGCAATGGAAAATTTGCGCGATACGACAAATGCCCGCAGCTGGAACGGGATAACTGAAAGAGACAGACAGACAGACAGACAGACAGAGAGAGAGAGAGAGAGAGAGAGGGATAGAGAAAGAGGGTGGGGGGGAGAGAGACAAACGCGTTGCTGAAGAAAAGCTTCGCTAAGGCGATCATACGTCTTCGTTAAATCTATGCTGTGCTTAGTCAACGCCGCGAGATACGCATCGGGGGAGATTTCGTCTTCGAAGGGAACACCGATGTCTATGTCCCCGCGGCTCCCCGTGATAGATCGTCGTAGACACGCCATCGCTATGACGCGCCGGCTCGCCCTGTGCGTCTACATTTACGTGCGAGGGGGAGAGGGTGGATGCTCTAATCGCGGCCGCGATATTTATTGGCGGCCTGCTATTACGGAAGCGACAATTTGTCATGCCGCTGTATTAATTACACAGCTCCTCCCTTGTATAGATAAGGGCGCTGGAGGGGCTATAACGTTGTTAGCGTCGTGAGGCAACCTGTTTGAATCGAAAGCGTCTCCGGTAAATTTTCAGATTAATTGCCGTCCGCGCGAGGCCGGTCCGATGTTTGTTCGCAATTAACATCGATATACGCGCACGTGTTCGCGCTCGAGCCGGCGTGATACTCGTCAATTGTTCAAGGCCGATATACATATATATATATATAAATATATGTATTATGCATATTGATAAACGAAATTCGCGTACCTGAAATAGTTTCATTTATTGCAAACTACGACCATCTCTCTTCGTTCCTTCGCGCACGAACGCATTGAAAAATACGGACTCGATTTAACACCAGGGCGCGCGTTTTAATATTACGTCATTTGGACAATTTCAATAATTCCGTAAGCATGTGCGCGAGAATTTAATTCCCTTTATGCGGATTGAAATGTTTAATTATAAAATTACGCGCAATGTGCGTAATAACCGGCACGGTCGCCGTGAGAAAGTCGTTTCCCGTCGATGCCGTCGATGGTCGTAATTTTACGCAGCTCGTTGTAAGAGAGAGAGAGAGAGAGAGAGAGAGAGAGAGAGAGAGAGAGAGAGAGAGAGAGAGAGAGAGAGAGAGAGAGCGAGAGAGAGAGAGAGAGAGCGGAGCTTTCTATAATCAGATACACGCGGAGGCAAAAGCATCGGAGCGGCGTTGAATTATTACGGCGAACTTTACGATTTCATTTGCATACTCCGAGCGCGCCTCGCGCCATTGTCGCTGACAAGGACTGGCGCGCGAGCCAGACAACAGTCCTGATTTCGAATTTTTATTGGCAATTCCGTAACATCCTTAGAGTGTAACTTTTAATGCTGGCAGTAAAAGCTGGCGGGAGTGTGTAAGACGCGCGGGCCGTATTTGCTCGACGTGATGTCAGCTGTCGCGTACACGTTGTTTCGTTTCATCGAGATAAACAGCCTGCGTTATATCGATGCAGCCGTTAAGTTTATCGCTCCCGTGGAAACACGGCACGCTGTAATTATGTGTACATACACGTCTTTCTTTCACCGCGCGACATCCGCGAGCTGTCTCGCAGCTCTCGCAGCTTTAACGCGCTCGTACGTGAGTCGTTTCACGTTTCCCGTCGTCGAAATTCCATTGAATCGACACGGCGCCGACAGATAAATCTCGTTTACACCCTTTAAACGAATAAAGATCGCCGTGGACGATTTTTCGTCGGACGCGCATTGTCCCAAAGAGTCGGAATCTCGAAATTCAGGAACGAGAACACGATCTCCCGAAAGCTCTCCCGAGCAAAGCGCGCAATCGTTCCGATGAGCGAGCATTATCCCGCAAGCAGCGGATCGATTAATATCCAACCGCTTTGATTACATACTTTCACCCGAACTAATGGATTCTGATATACAGCCGCGACGATTGCCTGCATATTTGCAGATAAAAAATTGCAGATCTCGCGTCCCGACGCTTTTCGGGGAATGGTCTTCTCGCTTTATAAATTTTAATACATTCTCTTCCGGGGACAATACGTGCCCAGCCAATTTTCCGCCCGAGATTAATACCACTAAAATTCGCGAATTTCGCGATAGAAGGGGAATAAGTAAGATGTGAAGAGACTTACTACTTTGTCGCCCAAGTTTCGCACGCGGCACGGCAGATACGCGGTGTGCCCTACGAACGCACTGACGTTCGCCGCTGTCGCCTCGAAAACCGGCAAATCTTCCGCCGGGTCATTATTGGCGTCGTTTACACGTCGCTGCGCACCTTCCCTGGATGTTTCGCGCACGTGCGCTGGAGCTAAAACGAGACAGAGAGAGGAGGGGAGAAAAAAGGTGAGAAAGGGAAAGAGCGCGTTTTTGCGCTCGGCAGCGCTCGCCGCGCTGCGAAAACGAGCCGCGAGAAAGAAGTACGCGCGCGCGCGCGGAGAGGAGAGCGAATAAATTTCTAACTCGATCGCGTGTAGCGGCACGACGATAAATACGATTTGAAAAGAGCACGCCCGCCTTCTCTCTCTCTCTCTCTCTCTCTCTCTCTCTCTCTCTCTCTCGTCGCGTGTTTGCGATTTAATCACGCCTGTGTATCGTCGAGCACACGCGGCGCGGAAAGACGCGGTGCGCGCGGCGGCACGGAGCTTGTTCCGTCTTCCATGAAACTTGTACGCGAATTCTGGACAGAGGAAACCAGCGCTCGCTCACACTGACGTCTCCCGCGAGAGCGCAACTCCGAATTCGCTGCAAGCGACTCCGTTCTCTCTCTCTCTCTCTCTCTCTCTCTCTCTCTCTCTCTCTCTCTCTCTCTCCCTCTCTCTCTCTCCCTCTCTCTCTCTCCCTCCTTCTCTCTTTGGATGTACTACTTACAAGATACCAGAATCCAAGTGCATTATAACTGGCAAGTAGCGAACTGGCGCCAAGCGAGCAAACTCAGCTCATTTCTTAAGCATAATACGCTCTTCGACGTTTCGGCGGAATATCTTATGGAACATCGCTGTGCACTTTGCTTCATTGTATATGCTCGTTTGTACCTCCCATAGAACGTCTGCCCACCTTCGCGGCTCTTTCCCGACCCAGCCTGCCCCCGCCTGCTCGCCGCGCGGCCCTTTGCTCGTCATACGCTATGAAGAATAATCCCACGTACTTTAACAACAACAATGCGCGCGCCCGTCTCCGTAATGGCGAAAGACATTACAAGAGTGCGGCGTAAATGGCGTGTCTTTTATCGAGTATGCGAATGCGATCCGCTCTCACATTTTTATTCGCGAAATTTCCCCGTCAGTGTTTGGCTATAAAAGATAATGAAAAATGGAACGGAGGCACAGAGAGGGGGGGCGAAAGGGGAGGGGGAAGGGCGGACGGACGAAAGCTGGTTTATATTTAATCGATAACGCGATTTGATTGGCTTACCTGTAGAATATATTGATCGACTTTACAATAAAAGAGATTGTGTGTTTCGGTATTTGCAAAACTTGTTTTGACAAATTGGATCAGAGGGGCTTATGCACTCTTTTATCACGGGGCATTTCCGCGTGCGCGTTTGTGCGCTTTAATTCTCTCGACGTGTAACTACATATTTCAGGCATGCTCGAGGAAATGGGACTAGATATTTATATCGCGCCTGCAAAGCGGAGGGAAAAAAGGGCCCTTTCTTGCCTTTGTGCTGTCCTCTTGTTCTCGCGCTTCCGTTTCTTCCGTTTCCATCTTTACACGCGGGCGACCGCTTACACCGCGCCGAGAGAGATGCGCGCGAGGAGCGTGCAAATTAATATCTTCTGTGTTTATCGCGCGCTAATGTCGAGGAATTAAAACCTTCCGTAGGTAGTTACACAACGCAATTTGCGGGGCGATCGTGCGCGAGTTATAAAGTGACTTCTCCTTAAGTCTGATTCACATATTCGCATAAATTTGCTTCACGTATGCGAACGGCGGTGGGATAAATTCGATTCGCATACATTCCCATCTCGCGGCGCATCAAATTTATTTCAGATATGCGTGTCACGTAAGCCAGCTGACACGTGCTGCGGGGCTCCGGCGAAAGCCAAACTTTCAAACGATTTCGGTCTTGGGGAATTATGAAGTGCGCATTATCCGAGAATTGACGTGACCGCGAACGTTATTACGCAATTATCACGCGAGCATTGGAGTCTAATGGAATTTGCGGGGTACAGTTGCGAATATACGCGAACAAAAGTTGTCCTTTTCGCTGTCTTTCACTCGAGTCGCACGGAAATTTCTGCAAAGTCTCTTCTCCGTAATCTCGTTAAATTTTTACCCGGTGTCGCGCGACGCAAGCAAGCACTCCCGATTGAATATCGTCTTTCTAAAAATCGAAGATCGGAAGCGCAGAAACCGGACCTCGTGGATGTGCAGACGCGAAGTGCTACATTTGTGTCTCCGGTTCTCGAGTGGAAGATCATAACGCTCACTTGTGCTTTCTTAAAATTTTCATGGAATAACGCGACCTCAATTTCGACTCGCTGTCGAAGTTTAAAGCTTGATATAATATGTGGCGGGTGTATAGAAAAAGTTATTCTCTCGCGCCCGTCATTGTTTCGTCGTTAATGGCCGTCGTGGCTTTTCGATTTTTGATTGTCCTTGTCGGTTATCTAAACACGTGTTACATGAACTCTTCGAGCTTCCCGTACGGAACATCATTCAAATAGCTGCCGGTCTATAGTCGGATCGTTCTCTCGTTAGTATACCTTCGGAACGGTTAGATACTCTCCATCATCATCAATCATCATCAGACCGAACGACGACTCATTGGCGGTTGACAGGGATTGATCCGAAAGGAAAGTTCGTAATAGAAGCTGGCTGGTTGGCTGACTGCAGGCCTGCTCTAATACATAGAAGAAAATCGCGCGACGTAAACGGCACTCAACTCCTGCTCTCTCTCTCGAGAATTAATTCCGGGTAATTATTTGTTTTTTCCTCTTTTGTTAGTCTCCTCTCTCTCTCTCTCTCTCTCTCTCTCTCATTCATTTCAATCTGTCGTTATTATATCTCGCCGATACCGCGCGCTCGTTCATTCGATGCCGCTGCAACGTCCCGGCTCGCCGGTGAAAAAATACACGTCCTCGCGTCGCGTGACCCAAAAAGACAAACGCCTGCCAATCATCGCATATCGCCCTCTTTTTGACCCTCGAGCGCGTGCAATCTGATAAATTTAATTGGATGAACCTGCGTGCGCCACGAGGGTAAATCCGTGGCGCGCATGGAGAGGATTGCGAGGGGCTCGAAACGCGGGCGGCTATCGAATTATCAAACGAATCTGCCCAGAACAACCCGCTGACATCGTAACTCGCCGGGCGGACCGTTTCGCATAAACAATGCCCCGGCCCAAAAGCCTAGCGGTATCCTCTTTCAATCTCGCCGCATATGATGGCCCGTTCTCGCGCGATCTTTACCCACCCTTAGTGACGTATTCGAGGCTCTCGCTCGCGAAAGCTGATCGCTTCGAGTATTATGATACAGCGCGCGCATGTGCGATAAATAAGCACGATAGCGCTTGTAGTGGAGACGGGAAAAGAGAAACAAGAACGGGACTGCATTTCGCGGAAAATGAGTCGTAAACTCGCCGCATATCGCAACGCTCGATCGCACGCGCTTAACGATCGCGCCGAGTTTGAAGCGTGCGATATGCGCACGAACGTGCGACGACACATCGATGAGAGCCGCAATTCAGAAGATAATATTGACGTAATTTATATGAACATCTTCGTTTAGTTTGCTCGAAAGTCAAGAGTAAATATTAGTTTGGTTCGCTACCATCGCTACCTCTCTCTCTCTCTCTCTCTCTCTCTCTCCCTCTACGTCCCTCTTCTGGTGCGCAGATAACGCCCGTATACATACCCACTCCACTAGCGTTATACAAATGACCAACACTCCAGCACTTTACGCCAACGCCCCGGTAACACGGGGTAAGTCCTGCCCCACCGTCCCTGATAACTCTGGATTAATTGACAAAATGCCACCGTCGCAAATAAGGATGATGTACATTACCTGAAAATCGTCCCGCCCCGCTATTATCATCGTACGCGCCATTTCCGGCGCGTCCCGCCAGCGCGTATAAATCGAAATAAGAGGAGAGGATTAAATTAACTTTTTTAAATACGACTCTCCCGGGAAGCGTACTAGCCGCGAATATAAGATGGCGCTCCGCAAGCGCGCAGTTTCCGCGACGTGAGTAATTCGAAGCGGGACGTTTCGCAAGTATCGATGTGAAAAACAAAATGAAAACGCGTTGGACGTATTTTAATTTCGATAATAAATTACGCGGTCCTAATAATTCTAATAATTGCTGCGGCAGACTTTAATGTTGCTTAACGTCCCAAGTGTCCCAAGATTGCAACCATCGATAAGTTTTGCGTAACGACGTACATTCCAAGAGTTGGATTTGAGGAGCGTTGAGTATCGGAGAGCCTTTTGTAGTAGAAGTAAAACCGAAGCGGAATAAATCATCTCTAGATCGTCCTGCGCGCGAGCACGCTTTCGTCTTCGGATCTTTCGTTCTTCTCCTACGTCCGGCTACAATCGTCCGTTTCCATTGACAGCGCGCCATCGCAGGCGCCACCTCTGCAAGCACTCTTGCAACCCCCTACGCGGCCACCAGCGAGCGAGATTCTACCCTCGCGCTCGCTACTTTTTATCTCCGGGGGTTTTTTGCCCACAGTCTCCAGGTAATATTATAAACCGCGCGCGTAAATGTGCCGTAAACCAAGATTGCCGCTTCCGTCCATCGCCGTCGTCGTTTTTGCGGCGGAGATGTTTCACTCCCCCAGATTGTCGCAGGGGTAGGTGGGGTGGTCGGGCATTTAAAAGAACCGGAAAAGGACGCGAAAGTGCCCACGTGTGAGCCGAGTCCTCGTTTTCATCGGCACTAAAAGCGTCTGGTCATGCCAGACGGTTATGTCGCACGCGATGGCTGTAAATTCAAACACCTGCCCGGGGAGAATTCGTGGGGGTGAGGTGGGAGAGGGAGAGAGGGATGCGCGCTCATAATTAAACGCTCTAAACGCGTCCGTGCTTTTTATGCGCCTCGTATTTATGAATCGCGCTCCGGGTTCGACTATATTGTAATTTAATGACTGGCGCTTCAATGAGCAAAACAAGCGCTGATAAGGGTTCGGTGTGTTCTCTCGCGGAAACGCATTGTGTCATCGCAGCGAACAGTTTTACGCTGCTTAATAGGCGAAAGCGCGTAACGTACGGCGCGTATCGAAACTTCGCTCGTACGCGATCAATACTGAAACGGACAGTTAATTCTTTCGCGACTCGGCTTTATGCGCCGGTACGAAGTCCATT